TGGTATCCCAAAATTGTGTTGCAGTGTAGACCTAGCCTTAGGGTGCATCTATCCAGCACCCTAAACTTGAAATAAGATAAGCAATCTGGGCTATGCAAACTGTGTATCTTATTTTAATTGACTGTTGAAATAATGTATTTCAAATCTTGGCATGTCTACACAGTGCCAAATTTCAAAATAACACGCTATTTTGAGACATCCCTTAGCCCTCATGGAACAAGGGATACAGGGATGCTGAAATAGCCATCTGCTATTTCAAGACCTATCTGGAAGTAGTGGGCAGGTGCAAAACACAGGGGATAGCTATTTCAGGATACTTTCCAGTATCCCAAAATAGCCCGGCTGTGTAGATGTACCCTTAGGCTATGTCTACACTACATGCTTCTTGTGCAAGAAGCCTTTTACACAAGAGTTTTTGCACAAAAACTTCTTCCACAAGAGCACATCCATACCTCAAAGCACATCCCAAAAGCAATGTGTTTTTGCACAAGAGAGCGCCCACACTGCATGGATGCTCTTGCACAAGAAAGCTCTGATGGCCAGTCACAGAACGGCCATCAGAGCACCTGTGCTTTTTCCCATAGGCCTCCACACTTACCTTCTTCTGCAATAGCTGTAGCACTAAAAGCAGTTATACCTCAGAAAAGGAGGTTTACCTATGGTGAAGAAGTCACCTGTTCTGCTATTTAACCATCTGTTTAATTGCATAAGAGCTCATTTGAGGTGTGGATGCTCCAGCTGGTTTTTGCACAAAAACCTTGTAGTGCAGCTGTACCCTTAGAGACTAACAGAAATATATAGAGTATCATGAGCTTTTGTGGGCAAAACCCACTTCCTCAGATGAGCAGGATGGAAAGAAAAGGTGGGATCCTCCGAATTTGTAAGGGGGAGGGGATTACCTGTCAATTGTTGTGCCAGTGCTAAGGAGGTTAATTGAGGGGGCTGGACGTGCCCCATACTTAGATTTTGATGTTGATTGGGTTTTGAATTTAATGAAAGCAAGTTTTATAATGGCCAGTCCAGTTCAGGATTGTTATTAATTATTATGGGAGACCTGTAGCCTAAAATCAGGATACACTGGTGTCTGGCTGGTTGCTTTCCTAAAGGAAGAGGGGTCCATCCATGGATGCCCCTGAGCCGCAGTCCCAATTTAAGAGGACTATTTCCTGTCCTAGGGCCCCTCTGGAGGAATGATCTGTCCCTAGACATTCCAGCAGACGCAAGGTCTAAAAGGGGAAGCCAAATGTTCCAGGCTGGTTCTCTTCGGAAGCACGGATGTGCTCTCTCATCTCACCCCCTTGCCTCGGGAGCGATCAATCGGAACGCGAGCTCCAGCCAGCCACGGGACTGCGATGTCCTGAGATGCTGCTTGCTTGAGGCGAGCCTGCATTTTCATGGAGCAGGTGCCGGGAAGGCCCCTGGCTTGTAACCCTCAGACACTTGCTAGGGAAACTTAGCTAACGGCGAGCCATGCATTGCATCCCATGCATCAGCGCTCTACAGTACTCGGACAGCTTCTGTGCATGAGTTTAGTCCCATGCCCAGAGAACATCGTGGTTACCTGAAAGCGGGGTGAACAGGATGATCAGATTTTAGGACAAGTTCCAAAACCAGAGAGGAGCAAAATCCTGCCTTGTAGCCCCCTAGTGAGAGTGAGACCAGCAGGATGTAGCTTTCCGTGGGACCTCTGTTACAGCGAGTGGAGCTCCGGGGGTTCCTCTGGGTTTGACTGCTCTCGTGGTACGAGCATCTTCCCTCTGATCTCGCAAGTGCTGCTACCTCCGAGAGGGCTGCGCCAGATCCCCCCGGCTGCCTGAGGGTTATACAATAAAAAAAGACAGAAGGGAGGTCAGTGAGAACGGCTTCCTGGGGAACACACCCTATTGTACCTTTCCATCTCTCCCCGCATGGCATTTATCCGGCTTATAAACTCCTCGGGGCAAAGATCTTTTTCCCTCCCGCTCTCAGTGCAACAGGGCTTCTTCCTGCCTGGGCCCTGCTGCCATGTAGCTAGAGAATAATAACGTGAGTCACAGTAGGAACAAGATGCAGATAGTGAAACTTTCCTAACTTTATTTCCTCTTCCAGAAGGGCCCCTGAACTCCGGGGGTGGGAGGGGAAGAGGGAATAAATCTGGTCTTAGTGCATATCCGCTTCATACTGCATTACTCCCGCCCCCCTTCTGAACATCAGTTTCCCTCTACCAGTGTTTAACCTTGCTAGGCTTTCTGTTTGCTCTGGCTTGTTTGAGAAAGGGCTCTGCCTTTTAAATATGTTAGACTCGGGAGCAGCAAGTGTGTTGTGGGTGGTTTGTAAAACAGATTTACTGCTCGGAAGAAAGGGGGTTGCAATAACAGATGCTCTGTCAAAGTGAAAAGCTATTGTTTACCGAAGAGTCACCGGGTATCTTGGAGATGTATCGGCTAAAACTTCGTCTGAATACAGCTTAGAGGGCGAGGCGGGGAGGGATCCCTCTAATTTCCTTCGAAAAGAAATATCGTGGACTATAAATTTCAGAGACAAGAAGTCTTAATACGCCCTAGGCTCGGCGTTCAGGAAAGAAGAAGTTCAGTTTTATATACTGCTACGATTAGCAGCAACGTTGCTTTATTTCTCTGAGAAAGGAAGGACGGACCGAACTGAAACAAGCCATGTTTTGAGGCGTCATTTGGTTACATTTTCATCGCTTAGGGCTCTGATCCAACGCGATCCGGATGCGTGTCTGTAGCTCACCTTTGGGTTGGCAGTGCGGTACAGTCCATAGGAACCCACTTAAATCTGCTGGGAAGCCCCCCTGTAGCTAGTTAGAAGCACTAACGCCCTATCCCGCAGGCTATTTTATTGCATTCAATGACTTTCTATGTGATAATATACTTCTAAGAAGCTGATGGGGGGCAAGGGAAGTGTCCCCTTCCAAAAAGCGAGATTTTCGGGTACCGTGTTAGTGAAATACCTGAGAAGGGAAAACAGATCACACTGGGCCATACTTGTCATACCTCTTAATCTGCCTCGCCATAGAAAAAGACTGATTTATATATATGATAATTGAACTCTAATTAATTCTACAGGAATCAACGTGCACAATCAAACATTCACAACGCACCTGGGGGAAAAAAGAGGCGTGTACTCTCCCGTTCCCCCTAATGAGGATCTTGATTAATGAATGTTAGAATATGTTAAGCGACGAGGTCTCAGTCTGCTAACGTGACTTAAGAGTGGTGCGTCTGTTCCCATAGCTCTCTTATACCAGCAAGACTGGTGCAAATGTAGGTTAGTGGGTACTGGCTTGATATTTGCTGGGGTAAATCAAGAGTATCTCCATGGAGTCACATTGTTGTAAACCCAATGGAAGGGGACCGTGGAGGCCAAAAGTAGTTGCTGACTGAAGCTGTTGATTTAAATGACTTTTGGATTAAGGTCTAAGAGAAAAGGAAATCAGCCCCTTTAGTTCAGAGTTATCATACATTCCTGTGAGGGCCAGGGGACATCTTTCTAGTATAAGTACACAGGAAGTTCCAGCTTCTAATATATGTCCCAATTGCTTCCGTACGCTTTCTATTTTATACCTGAAGAGTTACCCACCAGCTAGCAGTTAATCCCCAGGACAGTGTATCCAGGTGACAGGACTATGTTCTACCCTCTCCCGTATGAATCCAAAATTCACTGACTTCCTAGGCAAGGTGGGTTACACAGCAACACCGTAGCAATTGATAGCCTTCTGTGCACCAAGGGCTGGCCAATGAAAATGATTACACAGTAAACATTCTCCTATCCCTAAGATAAGAACTCAGATGTCTCCACTCCTCGGTCCCCTTAGACATTTTTGGCTCTGTGCTCACTGGTACATCTGAATTCAGCAGCTTTGTGGTGTCTAGTGACGTGGAATGATTAGCAGAACAGGCAAGCGCAGCCTGAGAACCACATGCATTGAAGTGTGTGGCTTTTGGGGAACTGAGGTGAAGAGGAACCGGTGTCATTCTGGTGTAGAACGTTTATCTATAGGCCTCGGTAATCGCAATAATAGTAACCAGTTCAGGGTGCGCTGTATTGTGTTTACAGTACATCGTCTGGGATCCTGTTCTAAAAGCTGTAGGCCCTTCTAACTCCGGGTTAGCTATTTGATCTAAACCATTGGGATTATTGGCTAGACTTTCAAAATGCTGGGCACATAAACCAAGATATAAACTGATGTCACCTTGACAAACTCTCACTCTCGCTTCAGGTCTGTCCTACAACATAGGTTCCTTTGGATAACAGAGCCGATTGGTTCCCCTCTTCTAGTTACTCACGCCCAGTATTTTCCCCCAGAAGGCAAAATCCACCCCCGACCCCATAACTCAAATCCACATGAATCAATATCTGGTTTCCAGAGCGGCTAATGTTCATAGCTAGATTATTTTCCCTGAACTGGCAAATTCCCTAAAGCAAAGTAAATACTTCTCAGCCTAATTATTATTAATTAAAAGGGAATGTTTTACACCCAAGGAGAATTAGCTGTTGTTTGCAGAATGTATCTCCTTCCCCTAATTCGTTTGTCATTGTGCCAAGGAAACAACATCCCGTGAATATTTCAGCACGATAACATGTTTTAAAACGCAACTGGAGTTAGTGTAACAACACTTCCCCACCCCCCAGTGCACAGAGACTTTTCTGATTGCAATAATCAAGAAGCAAAATCTCCTTTCCCCCATACATTGGTTGAGACTTACAGCTACGAGGGAATTGCAAGCGCAACCAGAAATAAAAAGGGTTGTGGGGAAAGAAAAGGGGGGAAAGTAATTGAAAAACCCCTCGGTTCTGATGTGCACATTGTAGATAAAGACTTCTGATGAGGGAGAAGGAGGGGGGGGGGGTGCGGGGAGAGATAACAAGAAGCAGTAATTTCTATTCAGCAAAGCTACCAAATCAGAAAGCAGTGCTGATCTTATTGGAGGAGAGCCTTCAACAGCAGCTAATCCTGTCATATTGAAAGAAAATGGTAAGTGTGCGCTGCAGAAACTGCCTGCCCCTTGCATCTAATCGAACACACGCACACACCGCACCAAGGGGGCTGCTGGAGGACTCGAACTCCTGGGCTAACGAGGACGCTTTGCGCGAGCACTTTGCGCGTCTTCGCTGCTCCTCCAAGCGCTTTGCGCAGAGAAGACTGAATTATCAGCGACCCGCTTCCGAGCCCCAGCTTCTGCTCTTTTTTAATTCTCCGAGCGTTGTCTGAACCATAGAGCCCGCTTTGATAGCACGGCGGCTCGACCTTATTTTTGAAAGCAATTAAACTTGGCAGAGCTGAGGCAGGAGGCTTCCCGGTGCCAGGAGCCGCCGAGCGGGTGTGCGTGCGTGTGTGTGTGTGTGACAAACTCGATCAGCGCGGACCATCCCACCTCTTGTCCGAAGCTTTCAAACTGTTGTTCTTTCTCCCAGTATCACAGCACCGACTAATCTAGGCCCCCCCCCTCCCCGAGCCCACCCCCTTTCGAAGATATGGAAGGGAAAGATAAAGAGGCTGCCACTGGACTCTGACCGTGTGCAGCTGGCTCTTGGCTTCCAGGGCTGGGTGGACTTCCCAGTCGCTTTCCCCAGCAAACCGCCTGCGGAGGGACAGGATGCAACTTCTTGTGCCTGCAGCAGCATGCCAGGTAAGGAGGATGCCTTTGTGTCGGCTGCCACTTTGCCTTTGCTTTATTGAATGCCCCCTTCCTGGGCTGACTTGGAACCCAGCTGCTTCTCATTTTGCTTTCCAGGAGAAAAAAATGTTGTGGCCAAAGGAAACTTCTGCTCAAAGGGGAGGACGATAGTGGCTAGAGGGCTAAGGGGGAGCGATTGCATCAAACAGACAGCGGTCTGGTCGGATTTAGCCCCAAAAGCGAGGCTAAAACGGTCAGAGACGTAGGGACCTCATGATAGACTCCCTCGACTTTTTAAGAAGCATCCACGGGTTTTTATATAACTGCGGCATTCCGACGAGGCTTGGTATTTTCGGGGCTCCGTGTCACTCCTGCCTAGAGAGGTGACATGTTTATTTGCCACTTCCCCGGTAGGTAATAATCCAGCCTGCCCTTTCCATGAAAGGGGTTTTGCTTTGGTACCGCAGGACGCCGCTTTTACCCAGGGCGGTTAAAAGAAGGTAGCAGATGTGTGCCAGGCAGTGGGAGGGGAGCCGCAGAGAAGTGGGAAGAAGAGGCGATCCCTGACACAGGGCTGGGAAAATGAGGAGGTGCAATCAGAGATACGCGTTAGAGACAGTCTGGGAGTTACCTCGCAGGCTCGGATACCAGGGGGGGACATGTAACGCGCAGGACGCGCGGATTTTTACAAACGCGCGCATGGGGAGTGGGGAGAGATCAGCCAGCTAATTGATGAGCCAGCCTCGATGCTCTTCCACTTGCGCTAGCAGCTCTGTTTAAATGCCCCCAAAGAGCGGGAGTGGGCAGGAGGAGGGGAACGCGTGGAGCTGTTGACGCGCACAGGTTATTTGTGGCGGGTGTTATCTTTGAAACTTTCCGATCAGTGGGAAGACCGACGGGGCCCGGGAGCTGTTGTGAAAGGGGAAGAGAGCGAGAGAGGGAGGGAAGGAGGTCCGAGAGGTGAAGGTGCGATTGCGGGAAACGATGTGTGGGATCACAAGCCACGGAAGCCACCCGCCGGATCGCATCTGCTCCGCACAGCTCCGCAGCTGGTGTAAACGGAGAGAGAGAATCCCCTTTTCGAACGGCGCCTCTTCGCAGTGCTGCGATGGGGCGCAGCCGAGGCAGGATTGGGGTCGGAGTCTACACCCGCGGGGGCGGGGATCCACCAAATGGTACCGCTGTGACGCAGAGTGTATACCTGCAAAGCCTCTAGTCACCCCAGTCGTAACACAGTCTTTCCCGGGCGCTTTCTATTCCCCTTTGAACAGGACTTCTTTGCCTCCCACGACTCCACACGCGAGGCAATGCTCTCCCCCCCCCCCCGGAGGAAAGTCAGAAAGAAGCCACCAAAATGGTGCGGTGTGAGGGAATGAATGGCAGTGGGGGCAGATCATGCCCTGTCAACCCCTTTGATCTCCACGGGCTAAGCCTTTGCTGAGCACTGAGCAGGATTGTGCCCTTACGTTTCACGTAGTCTGTCTCTGGCCATGGCCACGTGTGGGTATGGTGACTAAGGAGGACCTGGAGAGAGACGCATATCGCAAGGGAGTAAGGTCCCAGACCCGGAATTCTGGGGGGGAATCCGCCTCCGAAATGCTAGCTCTCGGTACCCGAGGTCCCGTGTGTCTCTCTGGCTCATCAATCCATCTCTCAGTTACCAGCTCCTTCCGCAGCCCCAAGGCACAGAAGTGCACTGGCCCTTCCACTCCCGCCACCAGGCCCTCCGCCACCTGTTCAAATGTAAACAGCCATTGACCGCTGCTGTAAAGATTCCTCGGTTTCTCCGTGCAGCCTGGCCGTCTAAGCCCTCCCCCCCTTCCGTTCCTCTTCCTCATCAAGCCCGTGGTGCAAATGCTGCAGCAGCCCCAAGCTGAGGCTGCCGCACGAGGGAGAGGGTGTTGTGTGTCCAGGATGCTGGAGTAGGAAGTCCCCGGTACATGCAACCAACAGCTTTGTTTATGGTTTTGTCTTTAAAGCACCTTTTCTGCAGCCACCGAATAACCCAAGAGACCGGGGTGTTATTGCCGGGAGAAGGCTGATGAAGCCACCCTGAAAAAGAAATCAAGCTGTAGAGTTGACAAGTTTAAAGCCGATGATGGCTGCTGTAAATGACACACTGATTCAAAATCAATCTAAACTGGGTTCAACTGTGCTCAAATTACTCCCCCGTGTCCCCCCGATCTCAAAAGAGGCTTGCTAAAATTCTTCGTTTGGGGGCCCATTTTCCTGGCCTCCATGCGGCCATCACAAAACTCTCCCTCTGGCCTCCGCTTTGCTGTTCCAGCAAATTAAAGACTTTCAAAGAGCCTGATATTAATGAGACCGCTCTTATGTAACTGACAAGGGCAGACTTCCCGGGGGGTGTGAATTTGTACAGAAGACTAAAGAGCAAGTTCCATCGGGACATTGTGTTCCTTCTGACAGATAGCTAGATGCTTCTTGTCTTGCAAGGGAGGGATTGTGTCCATGTCATATCACAGCACACTCATTTATCACGGCATGAGAGCCAGCACCAGCGGGATTAAAATGTCACAACTAGAGAGACCGTCAGGGTTATTTTACACGGGGCTCATCCAAAATTCATTGGAGCCAGTGGGAATTTTTTCCATTTCTTTCAGTGGGCTTTGGATCAGGCACTAATTGGCCAGATTGTATATAGGAATAAGGTAATATATCTCCCCTTCAGGCTGTGTGTAAACAGGTGTTCTCCCCTCACCCTTCCTCTCTGACTTCCTCTGATCAGGTTCGATTAAGGGAATGAGTTCTAGACTGGGGGAGGAGTATTTCCCCGTCGGAAATCTTTCTGGACTAGGATTCCCCCTGGTTAGGGATTGCCAGTGAGTGGTGGTTTTGCAGAGAGCATGCCCCTATTTCAGCCTCCCCCTGCGGAAGTTGTCCCCATCTCTGCTCTGAAAGACAGGCATGGGGGCTGCTCTCTCGCCTGACATTCTGTTGGGAGGTTAACATGTGAGCGAAGGAGTAGGCACAGGGTCGGCTTTTATGGCGTTGCGAAGCCTGTAATTTGAGCTGAGTGTTCCGTGCCTAGACGCACGCCAGCCCTCCGCCTTGTGGTTTATGACACAAAACAAACCCCTCCGATGACACATGTATAAACTTTGAAACGCTGATCAAGGCATGCTTTCCGCTCTGAGTTAGGCTACTCTTTCTTACGCTTGGCTCCGCTTCCCCTCCTCTCCCCCGCCCCTGGATGATGTCTTAACACTCTCGGTTGCCCTTTCCCATCTAATAAACCATCTTGTTAGTCTTTAAAGTGCTACATTGTCCTGCATTTTGCTTCAACTACCCCAGACTAACACGGCTACATTTCTATCACTTTCCAGCAGCGTGTGCTTTCATACTGGAGCCGGAGAACGCGCTCTGGGCTAATCCAATGGGCATCGGCGCTGGGACTCGGGGTGCGCTGGGGGGTCGGGGGGGGGAGTGCACCCTCTGATGTGAAGCGGTGTCCATTAGACTTAGACTCGACAGTTGGGTACCACAACTCTCAGCACGCCCACTGTGCACGCTGCTCCAGCCCCGGGTGCAGGAAAGCTGGCCCGCTCCGCTCCGCTCTGCTCTGCTCAGACCTACCTGCACGGTCTGCATTGCAGCCAGGGGCGGCTCGCAGACTCAACACGGGTTCCACTGAAATGAGGGTCGCCCTATTTTCGGTGTATTTCATTCCTATGGAGAAAGGGGGCAGAGGGCTCAAAGCCCCGTCTGTCCGGTCTCTACTTCCACCAGGTCAACGCCAGAGTCCGAATCCAAGTTTGTTTCCCAGATGTGTTCCCTCAGCTGGGCTGCACAGATGGGGAAGAGAGGGATGGAGAGAGAGTGTGTGAGAGAGAAAGAGAGACTTTGGACACTTTTAGCTGCTGCCATACACAATTTTCCTCACTCTACTCTGGCTCTCCATGTGCAGTCTGTGGGTCTCTATTACTCACTGTGTCTGAGACCGCCTGTGTTATTCCCCCTGCAGGTGTCTGATGCGAAAGCCCCCCCCTTCCACTTCAGAATCCCAGGCAACTCCCCCCCCCACACACATACACACACCCTCCCAAACTTTCTCATCTTCATTGAGATTATGACCTACATACATCGCGCTCTTTCTTAGCGCTGTTTCCATAGCAATACGGCCCAGGAAACACAGCCGGCTCCGGCGTAAGGAACCCGATCCTCTCCCAGAGCAACAGAGACCTCGCGGAGAGCCAGTTCAATCGAAGTGAAACCGAATCCGCAGGGAGTTTATCGGAGTCCCATGTGACAGCGCCTTCTAGTGGGCGAGAAAGGCAAGGAGAAGGCTGGCTCCGGGAGCTGACCTACAGCTGTAGGTAGATGGGTATCTGGTGATGTGTTTGGAACTAAGCTCCTGCGGGAGTCTTAAGTTCAGAATGTACCTGGTTCCTAGGTGCCTTGAATGTGATAGCAAATTGGATGGGGGAGAGGGATGTGGGCGAAACACAGAACAAAAGAACTGGAAGGAACCTCCAGAGGTCATCAAGTCCAGTCCCCTGCCCTCAGGGCAGGATCAAGCACCATCTAAATCATCCCTGATAGATGTCTACCAACCTACTCTTAAATATCTCCAGAGATGGAGATTCCACAACCTCCCTGGACAATTTATTCCAGTGTTTAACCACCTTGACAGGAAGTTTTTCCTAATGTCCAACCTAAACCTCCCTTGCTGCACTCTCAACCCATTGAAACTGAACTCAGGTGTTCAGTGAAAGAAGCAAAGAGTTTGCTCAGCCACTTTTCAGTGTAGCCAACAGTTTCCCCAGATGTCTGCAGGAGGGGGGCACATTTGGCAGAGTATGGTTTCATCATGGGAGAAGAGGGAAGTCACTTTCCTGTCCTCCCTTGGAAGGGGCTGGTCCCCAAAGGAAGGGATAGGTGCAGAAGGCTAACAGCATGTGTTGAACGTGATCCAGAAAGAAACCAAAAGCTCTAAATACCTAGTCTGATGAATTTATCAACAGCAAGAGATTCCAGTCCTTTTCTACTGTGTCTTTTCTGTTCAGTGTACATAATCATTCCTTGAATTATTGCTCATTCTGCAGGCTTGCTTGCATTTGTCTTAATTCCATGGCTAGAATTCCATTCTTCGACTATCCTCTCCATCTCAGTTCTGCTCACCCACCCTTCACAGGGTTTTATAGACCACACTAACATTTGTATCTGCTATTGCAGGATAGCAGCAGATGCAGCAGTCAGATGGTCTGGGTATGAGAGGGCACGCCAGTTCCAGGCCTGGCTTACACCCACATAGTACACGTAGCTTCTTGGCCTCAGTTTCCCCAGCTAAAGTGGGGGTTAATAATACATACATATATATCCAGTGGGATGATGCATTATAATGATTAATTGATGCCTGTCAAGTGATTTGAAGATGAAAACATTATTAAGCACTAAGAGTTCTTACATTCCCATTCCGGGCAATACCTATCACTTCTCATTTATATTTTGCCCTCTCTGCCCCAGCTCTGTACTTCATAATCTGCCAAGGCTCAACTATGAGTAAAACACCCAAAATCATGCCATACAACCCTCCCCCGCCCTCCCCACCACACATGCACTTTAGTGTAGAGATCTGCAGAGTTTATTTGGTCATTTTTTGCAAAGTGTTCTATAACCCCAGTTTTCTGATCCTATACTTCTTTGAAATGAGTTATTCACCATAACAAAAAGGAAAAACATTGAATCTATGTAACAGCAAGCTAAACCTGGAGGTATTAGAGACAATTGTGTGACACCTGTGCAGTCCAGGGGAAGAAAGGCAAGGAAACAGAATGAGTTAAATTTGTTTCCTTCTGCTTTCTGTTTCCAATCAGTTCTTTCCTCTAAAATACTCTAAAAATAGAGTGAATACTCTAAAAATCCAGCAGATCTCACTTTATGGCCTTGAGGGTTAAGATATCAAATTCTAAACAGCACATGCAACTCCAGAGGAGCAGGTAAGAGGTTATTGGAGGTGGTAGATAGTTTATACTAGCCATTTATTCAATAACTTTTGACTGCTGCTGCGCATTGAGTGGATGATATCAGAGAACTATCCACAATGACTCCAAGATCTGCCTCTTGAGTAGTTGTAGCTAAATTAGTCCCCATCATATTGTATATATAGTTGGGATTTATTTTCTTCCCATGTGCATTACTTTACATTTTTCAACATTACATTTCATGTGACATTTTGTTGCCCAATCACTTAGTTTGGTGAGATTCTTTTGAAGCTCCTCACGGTGTTATTTGGTCTTAACTATATTGAGCAGTTTTGTGTCATCTGCAAATTTTGCCACCTCAGGCTACGTCCGATCTTCAGCAAAAACTTGCCGGCTGTCTACACTGCACGGGCGTTCTTCCAGAAGTAAATTTACAGTATAGCATTGTAAAACAGGGCTTCTTCCGGAAGAATTATTTCTCTCCCCATGAGGAATAAGCCCTCTTGCGCAAGAACTCTTCCAGGAGAGGACAGTGTAGACAGTCAACATGAATTTCTTGCGCAAGAAGTCCCTATGGTTAAAATGGCCATCAGAGCTTTCTTGCGGAAGAAAATGTCTACACTGCCATGGATGCTCTTGCGCAAAAGCACATGCCAGTGTAGATGCTCTCTTGTGGAAGAGTTTTTGCACAAGAACTCTTTTGCAAAAGAGTTCTTGCACAAGAAGCTGCCAGTGTAGACGTAGCCTCACTGTTTACCCCTTTCTCCAGATAATTTATGAATAAGTTGAATAGAATTGTTCCTCATGCTACTATCACCATTATTTCCATTAGATTTTAATACCAGAGGGGCTGGGGCTAAGGTGCACTAAGTTTCATCTTGTTTCTGTTAAGTACTTAATAGAGTATGTTTGCTAATAAAACATATCTACCCAGTGGGGTCCCAATAGTGCATGTGCTGTTGTATATTCATTTTCAAGAATATAAGGGTAAAATAAACCAAAACATCACTCGGGGTGAGATCTTCACCAAGCCAATGCAGTTTTACATCGACTCACACTAGCAGAGGCTCTGTCCACCTGTCTGTGTTTTGACTAGATGCTGTCCTGCTTCCTTAGCACTAGCAATTTATTTGGACCTATGGGCTAGATTCTGATCTTAATTGCACTCCTGCTAATGGGGAATAATGCCACTGGCTTTTAATGGGATTACACAAATGGATTTTGGCTCAGAATTTGTGTTTAATGGTAATATTTTTCTTGAAGAAAATTCATGAGGATATGCTGAGATTTTGACAACTGTCTACCAAACATTTCTAGAGAGCTTGCTCCCACTAACGGGAAAATGCTGTGAGATAATGGACATGATCCAGTAGTAGGATGGGGGAAAAAACCCTGTAATAATGATAGCAATTGCACCAGCTTTAACAAACAAAAGCACCAAGCAATTGCAACTCCTAACTCCTCTCAGAATTTGCTCCAAATTTTTTGAAAAGCAGTGGAAAAATTGCAGATGGATACAATTCCTGCACAGAGTTAGATACAATGCCCTAATAAGTCCAGCTAGTTTCAATGGTAGTGAAAAGCACTCCTTGAGACAAATTAAAAACAAAAATGTTTTGTTAAAAAAACAAACAAAACAAGACCTCTTCATTTTCTAATTTATTTGGGTTCCATCTACAGCAGGATTGAACGGTTATCGCTCTCTTGACTTCAGTGAAGCAATGCTGATATATATCTTCTGAAGGTATGACCCTTCATCTTTTTTAATCTATTTTGGCTTGTGAGGAATGAAAAATAAAACATTTTGACCATGAAATAAACAACGCTCTGCCTAGTCAGAAACTGTAGAGTCTTCAGATCTATATACTAATGAATTTTTCCCTAGAGCTCTACAGTAGGTTTTCTAATGTCCTTTTCTACAAACCCATCTAACTCATATTTAGCCAGTTAATTTCCATGGAATCAAAATTTAGAGAATAGGAGCAGGTGATTCTTTTCATTAGGCCAACCTACCACTTAGAATTAGAACAGATCATGTATTAAAAACAATTTCACAAATATTGTAATGAATAAATGTGGCAAATTCATTCCACTTGTTATTTTCAAAGTTATGTTGTTTGTTGTCGATGAATATTGGGTGACCAAAGATTTATTCATCTCCATGTATCTGATGAAGTAGTTTTGACCCGCAAAAGCTTATGTCCAAATAAATCTGTTAGTCTTTAAGGTGTCACAGGATTCCTCATTCTTTTTACAGATACAGACATATACGGCTACCCCTGAGACTAGTATTCATGAAAATGTGCATTCATCTCAAACCCTTCATGAATTTTAGCATGAATAATTAACTGGAAGTGAATTGTTTGTAATTCATGACACTAGACAGACTTCTGGTGTATTAAGTCCAGTATCTTGTCTGTGACAGTAGAGAATAACAGATCCTCCAGAGGAAGATGCAAAAAACACCATCATAGAGAATTATGCACTTGCCCGTAAGGGAAATTTCTTCCAAATACCCACCAGTTCATGGCTGGTTTATGCTTTAGGAACACCAAAGTTCATAACCTTTCTAAAAACAAAATCTTTGTTCCTTGTAATGTTACAGTTATTTGAGGTAAACAAATATTCACAGTATCTGCATATTTTGCAGCCTTATTATTCTCCCATTTTTCCAGATGATTAATAAAGACACAGTATTATTTTCTAATGTAGAACCATTGAACACCCTATTGTCTATTTTCTACCCTATAGATAAAAGACGATTCTTGGGTAGTCTTTTGTTTTCATCTCTTACCCCATTTCTAATTCATGATGCTACTTTACCTCTCACCCCATGACTTCTTAGTTTCCTTAATACTATTTTGCAAGAGATATTATCAAATATTGTTTGTAAAGTTCAAACAAATTATATCAGCCAGTTCTTTTTTATCTGTGATCTTGTTCATGTGTTCAGATAATTCTAATATATACAACAGACATATTTTTCTTTTACAAAATCTGTGCTGATTTGTCTCTCTCATTTGGTGTTCATGTAGGTGTTTTGTAATTCTACTTTTGACTATTTTTTCAACCAATTCAGCTGGTTAGTGAAGTTAGGTTCTGTGCTCTATAATTCCTAGAAATCACCCCAGTACATTTCCTACACACAGGCATAATGGTTGCTGTTCTAAAGTCCTTTTATAGTGTATATGACTCCAATGAGAGATTGCATATTTTTGTTATCAGCCCTGCCACTTCATTTTTAAGTGCCTTTCAAACTCTGTGATGTTTTTGTGACAGTGGTGCTATTTAGTTTATCTGTGTCTTTCTCTCTTTACACTTGAAGATCTGAGAGAGAGTTGGCTAGAAATTTTCCAACAAATAACTTCTTCAACAGAAATGCCAGTTTGTCAAAACAAACTTTTTTCAGGGCAGCCACATGAGTTAGACAAATTTCCTGACTTCAAAAGCTGTTGAAAAAAAGTTCTGAAATCATTGAAATGCATCATTTTGACAATAAAAAAATCTGTTTTTCTAGTTCAAAATTACTTCTTTTTAAAATTTAAGCTAATTAGGTTGGAAATTTAAAAAAGGAAAATGATGAAAATTAAAGTGAAACATTTCAAATTTATTGAAAAAAAATCCTGTTTTGATTGATCTAAAGTGAGAGGATTTTTTTTGAGATTTTTGACTTCCATTGCAATTTGGGTTGAGAAAATTTTCAAAATTCAAATATATTTACAGGACAGAAAAATTATTTCCTTCCCATCCCTAATATCACAATTTATGCTTCCTTTATTTCCCTGAAAATAACAGACCTATTGCAGACATCAACACATCATCTTCTTGTGGTGGAGACAGATTCAAATAGATCAATTCAACATTTCTGCAATGTTTTTCTCTTTATTCCCTGGTAGTCCAACAGACTCACCATTTCTCTTGCAGATTTCCTGATTTTAATATGCTTAAAGAAAATCTTTCTGTATTTGCTTATCAAATGCTTTCTTAAACTGGAATACTTAATTTCCATCTGGCACATTTTCCCCCATAATTTATGTTCCTTATTTTTGACTTCACTAGGGTGGATTTTCATTTCATGGAAGTTATTCTTTTGGCTGAAATAATGTATTTAACCTTGCCATTTAACAAAGCATTTTTCCTCCATGCTTTTCTCATACCTTTCTGGTTAGTGCATTCATGCCTTCTCTGACTTAAAAATGGTGTGCTTAAGTAGTTCCATTTTGAGTCTAAAGATGTTAATTCCTTTTTTTTTTACTCTAGGGTCTTTAACTTGCTAACTTAAAAAATTAATTATTACTTTTTAAATGTAGTGTCACTGTGCTAATTCTTGGAACAACTTCTGCACTCAGGATGATAAACTCATTTGTATTGTGGTCTTAAATATAGTCAAGAAACAAATGAATGACTTTTTTAACCAACTCTATATGCTACTTAAGACTTAAGTGGAGAATAGCTTCTCTTTTTGTGTAACTCTAGGACTAATTGTTCCAAGAAAGAACCATCTCAGGCGCTATGGTGGGATGCTCTCTCCAAACAAGCCCTGAATGAGTCAATATGTTCCAGGTGGGGCCAGTTAACTTTAGATGCTGCAACCAGAAGGGAACCTGGATTGATAGGGTTTATGACTGATGAAGTCCAGGTTGGGGAAGGAACTGGGTTAAGGTTATAAAACCAGGAAGGGGCTACAGGGAATAGGTCTGTAGTTATTCCTGAGGGGGTCATGGCTAGGGGCTATGAGAGTGAAAGGTAAAACCTGGTCTTGACCAGAAGAGGCCATCTTGCAAGGGGCATGATGCAGCCAGTGGGAACAGATAAAGCTCCAGAGATAGGAAAGGTGATGGAGACATAGGGGAACCAAGGAGCCCAGGCTCTGAGCCTGATCTGCTCTAGGTTGCTAGCCACAGAGTCTGTGGGCTGGAACATGGAGTAGTGGATGGATACAGGACCAATTGGAACAGGTGACTGCCTAAGATGGCATAAAAACAGCTTGCTGGGTGAGACTTTGTTACCTCAGAAGTGAGGGCAGCTGTAGAGTGATGTGGCTGGAAGGTTGAGTCATGAAGGAGCTCCCCCAGTCACTGATCGCGAGGGACCAGAGCAAGCATTCAAGAGAGGAGGATACTAAATAGGGTCAGAGAAGATTCCTAGACCTAGCCACAAGGAGTTACAGTTGCAGTGAATTGGGTCAGACACATCAAGAAATTGCTTTTGAATCCTGATGTTATGTGTGGGGTGGGGTCAGGGATAGAAGCGGGCATGCCCGAGTGTAGCTGTGCTTCTGCTATTTTCTACTGATGTAAAGCTATTTAAAGTCACTTGGGAACCTTGCACCACTGTGGTCAGGTAGAGCAGCTCCTCACCTTCTCTAAGTCATGCTAAGACCAAGTGGCACAGGCTGTAGGAGCCTGACAGTCCCATCCTCCTCCTAGTGCTAGAGAATTCAGCCTATAGTTTCTTATACTTGCCTTCCTACTACACAAGGTGCCAGGCAATAGGGATTCAGGCCCTGCTCTGGCTGTTACTTCACTGTGGCTGAGGACAGAATCAATGTACAGACAATGAACCTCTCCATGAACTTAACTGTGACCTGGAGTGATCATTTTTACAGGAAGAAGAGCTTTAGGGGAAAGGAGACAGGCATGGGGAAAACTTGCCCTGAGGTATCCCATTCTGTGCTGTAGCTAAATTGAAGGATTTTATCTCCAGATCTGACATTCTGGCATCTTTCACCAGCACTAAGTTCATTTTTCTATTTCTAACTGAATTCCTGGCTGCTGAAAGCCGTCAGAACATGAGTGACATGAAAGAGATGGCCACCACCAAACTAGGTTCTGTATTAACCGGACAATGTCACATCTTCTCAGTCAGCCAAAGGCCTGTGCCTGAGTCCGAGCAGGGAGAATATAAGTGTGTCATCTCACTTGTGATGCTTTTTCTTCCCACCCAAACATGTACAGATCACTCACTTGAGGTACAATGACAGGAGAGGAAGAAGTTAGAGCAGGTTAGGACTTTGCTTCTACATCTATGATAAGAAACATACTTCCTTCATTAGAGGGAAAGAACATGAGAATCAAATGTGAAGGGCTTGTTAAGTTTTCATTATAGTGAGGAATTGATATCTATAAATAATTTTTCCAACTTCATATGCTTGGAGTGACTTAGAGGGCTTTACCAAGAGGTTTTGACATCAGGAAAAGTCCCTTAAGAGAAACATCCTACCTATTATTTTTTATAATTGTGATGCAATAAAGGCAAGGAAATAAAATATAAAAGTGGAAAGAAGAAAGTAAAAAAGAAAATAGTGCTTTCATGTACCCTGCCTTGAGAAAATGAGTGAATTTCTCATCTCAGGAAAGAGTCAGAGAACACGTTTTTGGTCATGGGGCACAGATGGATGTAAAATATCTGGCCTAAGAAAATCCACAAAGAGTGTCACTGTTTGGCACAAGATTTTGGCTATTGAAGTACCAAATCATTTTCTTTAAAGATTAACAATTTAGCAAATGTGGAAATGAAAAGAGGATTAGTTAAATGAAGGAGTGTGGTTTTTGTGGTTAAGGCACTTGATTAGGACTTTGGAGATATGGATTCAATTCCTGACTTTGTCACAAGTTTCCAATATCACTCTGGGCTAATAATGTGATCACCAATGCTTCAATTTCCCAACTGTAAATTATGGATAATAGCATTTCCTTTCTTGGTCTTGCCTGTAATCTCTTTGGCCAGAAACTGTCTCATGAAGTGCTCGATACATGTGCCCTGTGCTTGGTTTGGACCTCAAAAAAAAAAAAAAAAAAAAAAAAGCAACTTTTAAAACATTTGATTTATTCCTTATAAAAATAGGAATACGGTATAGGTCTGCTCCAAACCTCACTAGGGACTATGGGAATCTTTCTATTTACCTGTGGGAGCACTGTCTCAGGCTGTATGCTCATCAGCAGTATATACCCAGAATGGGCATATATATTTGTGTGGGTGACTGTGTGCTCCTCTGATTAGTACCCTTCAGTGGCATTAGCTTTAATCTAGCAGCAAGTCAGATCCTTGCTGTCATCCTTGGATGGAAGGTCACTGAAAGAAGCACAAGATACTTTGAAAGCAATTTAATTAACCCCTTGCCTCTCAGTGAAATAATAAGAAAAGATTTTATATTTATCTAGACACTGTTCACTTAGAACAGAGGGAAAATCAAATCACACTTGTGGCTTCTAGGAGGGTCAGTGCAGTACTCCACTGCCAGCTCCATTACGTGGCCCCACCTTTCACTGTCGTCAGAGATGATACTGTATTCTGATCTATGCAGCTGCACCCCCCACGTGTGTCAGACCCTTAACTTTCACCTTGATTTTCTTGTCTTGGAATAGCCATGAGAGTGAGAGGGCCAGAGGCCTGCTTCCCACATGCCCTCTTGTTAGCATCCTGCTACCTGCATGAAGAATGATGGATCAGTTCCCTCCCCCCCAAAATCCAAGGGCTGCGTCTAGACTGGCAAGATTTTGTGCAAAAGCGGCCGCTTTTTTGCAAAAACTTGCCAGCTGTCTACACTGGCCGCTTGAATTTGCGCAAGAGCACTGACTTGGTAATGTACAAAATCAGTGCTTCTTGCGCAAATACTTTCACACTCCCGCACGGGAAAAAGCCCTCTTGCACAAGAATACTTGCGCAAGAGGGCTAGTGTAGACAGGGAAGAACTGTTTTGCGCAAAAAAGCCCCGATGGCTAAAATGGCGATCGGGGCTTTCTTGCGCAAAATCGCGTCTAGACTAGACATGGATGCTTTTGTGCAAAAGCACTTTTTGTGCAAAAGCATGGGTGCCAATCTAAACGTGCTTTTGCGGAAATACTTTTAATGGAAAAACTTTTCTGTTAAAAGTACTTCCGCAAAATCATGCCAGTCTAGACGCAGCCAAGGAGTGCATTGATGGGTATACTGATAGGCCTTAGCACACCTGCAAAAGTGGGAGGTCTTTGCCCAGGGAGTTCTTCTCATTTGCGTAAGATCCTCCCTTCCCATTTGCAGATAGCAACGGTCCTATGCATAGTAAGTCGATGCAGCCTGATGGGGTTCATGTGCCCATATTGCTGTGTAAGCTCATGTCAGGATTTGGGCTATTGTTTGTAATTAGCAAATCTTTTAAAAAAAATCAAATTTACTAAATAAAAAGAGGAGACGAAAGCACAATGGTGCTTTTTGAAAGTGATCTCTCATTCCTGATGCATTTAAAGTCTCCAGGTAGTGGGATAGGAGGTCATTATGGGTACATCTACACAGCAGCGTTTTTTCGGAATATCTGACAGTACTCTGAAATATCAAAGTGCGTCTACACTACAAGGCTTTATTTCGAAATAATGTCGAGCTGGAGGACTTCTTACTCCAACTCTTGTAACCCTCATGTCACAAGGGCTACATCTACACTGGCATCTTTTTCCGGAAATGCTTAAAACGGAACAGTTTTCTGTTATAAGTATTTCCGGAAAAAGCGCGTCTACATTGGCAGGATGCTTTTCTGGAAAAGCACTTTTTCCGGAAAAGAGTCCGTGGCCAATGTAGACGCGCTTTTCCAGAAAAATGCCCCGATCGTCATTTTCACGATCGGAGCTTTTTTGCGGAAAAGACTACTGTGCTGTCTACACTGGCCCTTTTCTGGAACAGTTTTTCCGGAAAAGGACTTTTGCCCGAACGGGAGCAGCATAGTTTTTCCGGAAAAACACTGACAATTTTACAGTAGATCGTCATTGCTTTTCCGGAAAAGCAAGCGGCCAGTGTAGACAGCTGGCAAGTTATTCCGGAAAAGCGGCTGCTTTTCTGGAAAAAGTAGCCCAGTGTAGACACAGCCAAGGAGTAAGGGAAGTCAAAGGAAAAATGTTCTTCCTTTGACTTCCTGCTGTGTAGACAGTGCCAAAAGCCAAATTAAGCTATTTCGACTCAAGCTACACAACTGAGGTAGCTCACATTACGCAGCTTAATTTGTAGACATGCCTTAAGCTATCTAGGCTAGCATCCTGCCAAATTGGCCATCATTGATCCAGTGTGGATCACAATCATTCTTTAGCTTATTCAGGAGTGTTCTGCACAGAATATTTATACCAATTTAAAGGTGTGAATTAACACGAAAGTAAAGGAGAGCTGAAAAGCTTTGAAATAAACTGAGGCCAATTTTTTTAAAAAAAATGGCAAGTTTGACTTCTAGAAGTTCATATTTAAGGACCTAAATAAAAGCCCTGGCTTTCCAAAGAGCTAAATGCTGATCTGTAGAATGACCTCTGAGTGGTCAGAATTTTTTAAAATTGGCATTTTTTAGGTACTGAAGTACTGATTTAGATGTTTAACTTTAGGCACACGTCTTTGAAAATTTTGGCCACAACCTTTTAAAGATAGATAAATTGGTAATAGGCCCAGCTCCCACGGTCTTGCCTCTTGAGTCATTCTCAGCTGTGCAAAGTGGGCGTGACATGCTGCTGCTCCAATCTGGTAGCATTTTACCCCCACTTTGCACAGGTGTAGATGACTACGCTGGGTACAAAGTGGTGGAAAATCAGGCCCAATGTGCATAGATTAATCAAGGCATCTTGTTCTGGGGGTAGTGCTGATTTTTGTGGGTTTCAGAAGCTAGTGGGAGGTGATAAAATGCTATTACAGACCTCTGTGAGTTAAAGCAGCAACACTGTGTTCTTCTGACATATCTCTGAGTGACATTCTTTCCTGAGAGATGGAATTTGGGAGTGGAGAAAAGACAGAGGCTATAATGGGCATCTCAGTACATCACTTTTCAAATGTTAGCTGGGCAAAGAGTGAAGGACAAAGCCTTAAAATCAGTAAATAGAATCACTAAGCATCCATTCTTGGGAGGTACTGAGCAGTGATTGTGCTGAGTGTGCTCAGCTTCCAGCTGCTCAGATCCTGTTCTGCTGAAATCAGTGGGAAAACTGAAATCAGCAAGTGAGAGAGATCCAGAGACTTCAGTGGGAGCTGAGGGTGCTCCAAAGAAGTGTTCAACACATCGTAGCAGGATCCAGTGCTGTAGCATGCACGCAAAGTGTAAAAAACCCGACAGCGTACTATAGGCTAAGAAGAAATGATCTCAGCAAGACAAGATTTTGAACCTTTAAGTACCCGGTGGTGTTTTGGTGAGCCACTGAGCAGAGTGTTACACCCTCAGGGGAGCTTTGCCATTGACTTCATTGGAGCAAAGATTTCATCCTCTGTGGTAGAGTGTGGCCGCTCAGTTGTAGGTTGAAATCTGCTGCTGCCCTTTGATGAGGGGTTGGTTTGTCTCATCAGACACAAGTTATTGGGAATCAAGGATTTAGCGTTTCAAACGCCTTTTACTTTGGGGGTGTTCAGGGCATTGGTATGTCTCATCAGAAATCTCTGAATTATTTGCAAACCATGGACCCAGATTCAGAGAGTTTAACACCCCACCTCAACCCAAATCTTAGGGATTTTCATTTCTCCGATTGGGAGTGAGACTGACTTTTATTGTGAAAAGACAATTGCAATATCCATTCCTCCTCCGCTTGCCAGCAACCAGGCCCCTAGTTCAGAATGTTGTGTTTCCTCCCTACAGATGATGGCATCGTAAGCATCTAGAGTACAGCAGTACCGTGGAGCTGCATTGCCTTCATGCCTCTCACTGCTTTAGATGCCAGCCTTATCCTTGACTGCTGCAGCAGGAGCACAGGCCCCAGAGCCCACCTCCTGGTAGGTAAAAAGTTTTGGTTCTACTTTAATTCAAACTAGGTTGGTGGGTGGGCTTAAGGAAGAGCTCAACCCCTCCTTCAAGGATTTCTCTGAGGACCTGTTTCCTCGCACATGGTTAGTTTTGGATATGAGACAGCAATAGGAGTGGGGAGGAAATTCTAGGAGTCTACTTTTGGCTTTTTTTATTATATAGTTGGAGCTCAGTACCAGTATAATTTTTTTAAAAAAATTATCTCTTCTTGCTTCACTAAACCAAGCAGGAAAAACAAAATAAACCCGCAAAAGACAATGTGGGAGGAAAATATACCCTTTACCATAGAGCGAGGAAAGAGATAATGAGTAAATAAGGAGCAATGAATTACTTATTTTGGAGGTCCTCTCTGGTCTGTTCTGTGGGGATCAACCACATTGTTTCTGTTGTTGCACTAATTAGCTCTCCATATCTTCAGCCCAGTGTACGCGGCCATGAAGCTGGGTTCCTGCACTGCGGCATGAAGAAATGATGATTACCCTTGTACTTTATAATGATTAGTTATTTCACAGGCTATGTGGACCCGCTCTATAATTGTCACACCAACTGTCTCCCATGCATTTTTTTAATCTTCAGCAGAGCTCAGTTCTGCCATGGAGCAGAGGGGATGGCTGGGGGAGAGGAATGTGTGTCCTCCACTCTGATTTCACAACTTTTTGAGCTCTGGTTGTGGGACCCCAATCTCCCTAAACACCAATAGGAGCTGTTGTCCTATTTGGAACATGGAAAGGTACAGGCTTTAGAGCCTGTTATCTGTTGTTCTGCACTAGCTTTTCTGTCATCTTGATGTGAGACGAGGCCTTCAGCTGCTCAACAGTAAACTCCTCTGGCTAGTTAAAGGACAGCGTCAGTGAGTTTCAGGAGTCTAATCCACTCCTCTGCAGCTAGCAGTATGGTTCCTAGTCTATGAGACCTTGGAGGCCTGAGGCCTGAAGGGATTTGGGGAGGGACGTAGGTCGGGGAGAATAACAGAATCCTCAGGGGATGCAGAGGGGAAAGTAGAGTGAGGTGGCAATCTACAGAAAGCCCCTTTCTCAGCCTGGAGGCAGTCTTATGACACTGCCAGGCATTGGTATCTCCACAAACATTATGCTCTGCAAATCTAAAGCACAAGGAGAGGGGCACTTTGCAGGTAGTCACATTGGTGTTTATACCACAGTCCCACCTGGGCTCTCAAGTAATTATACTAACAACACTTAGCCCTCCTGGTAGGAGCCAGACAACAGATTTCATTTCTATGCATGCTGCTGCCTGTGTGTAATGGAACCCTTTTCCTGTGGAGGAAAGATTTATCTAAGGTGACTGATCTCACCATGTTATCTTTTAGGAGAGTGTGTGTAGATGGGAAGGAAGGGTAAAGGTTTGCTTTTCAGTGCACTGTTTGCAGTCTAAGAGGAGATGTGCAGCATGTAAAAATGACTATCTTGACATTTAATGAATTTACAGTGTAGGGGCTTGTGGTGACACAAATATCACTCTAGTGTTGGATTTAGTCCCACAGTCCTTGTGTGCAGGAAGCTGGTGAGGGCTTTGCCAGTGGAAAGTAGTAAGATCAGGCTCTTTGTAGCTAACTCAGCTCATGAGTTGTGGGACATTAGCTTTTAAAGGAAGCATCTGCTGCCCTTGTTCTACCTCCAGCATCCAGGAGAGCAAAAACAGACTTTCTCAGAGGCACAGGGGTTTGTGCCATACAGCTGCTGTTGGCCCTGAGATAGTTGTGATGTCTGTCACATGGCTAGAAAGGAAGGACGTAATGGGATAAATAATTGAAAAATCCAAAGGTATCCTTTTTTCTAGGTATTTGTTAAAATTGGAATGTGCCAACTCTGCATGAACTTTATGAACATTTTGTGTAGTGTGATGGAGGTAATTTATTGACTAAATGACTTACAGGAGTCAGAGGGATTATATTGGAAACCAGTGAAGGAAAAGACACAGTGTAGCTGACTGACAAAGCCAGGATCAGAACCCAAGTATCCTGAGTTCCAGCTGGCCTAACTTCTGATCCATGCTATTTAGTAGCTGTCCTGTGGCATCGCTGGTACCCCACACCTCTGCGTTTTGCAGGCCTGTCAACCAGGGCAAGTGGCAGAGAAGGCATCTTCCCTGAGGCCCAATAATTTAAAAGCTCAGAGTTCCTAGCTGTCACCACCACTACAGTGGCAACAGCAGCAGCTGGAGCCTTGGGCCCTTTAAATTATTTCTGGAGCCTTGGCAGCAGGTGCCGGGCTGTTCTGAAGGTCTGGCTGAGGGAGGCTAGCTCCAGCCCTGCCCTTTCTGTCTGAGATCCCATCCTTTCTAGGGACCTAGAGCTGCACCTCCACATTGCTTGAGACCCGGCAAAGTCTGTCAGCCAGCCTGGAATCTAGTTCTGAGATTTAAAGACACCAACTTCATTCCTGTTTTGGTAGTCACAGAGAGCATATGCCTGTCCCCACTGCAATGACCAGTAAAGGAAAGGGGGGAGATCTACTCGATAGCACTTCTGTGAATTCTCTGTGCTAGGAAGCTGGAACCTACTACAACACAATTGGTTATTATGGGGACATAATAGAATTCCAGGTGGAAAAACAGTGGTGGATGATGAATTCTCCCTAATCTGAATACTGTGTTACTGTTGGAGCAGATTTTACCCATATTTTGAGGGAGAAGTGTTCACTGAGAATAGCAGCCGGGAATGGGGCAATCAGTTCTAAGAGACAGATAAATGCTGTTCCCAGAGGGACTGGCTGACAAGGAAAATACATTGCCTGGAGCAGACGGAACTGTTGATTATTGTCCACTAGAGTCTCCCTCTCCCCCATCTATTTGTGACTTGCCAGCCAACACATGATTTTTGCAAGTGTTTGTGTTCTTGGTGGCTTGAATAATATTTTTCATGAACAAATTAGGGCTGATGGGTTCTCACAAGCTGTCCGTAGTGAGTGCTCCTCTCAGTATTCAGCGCTGGGAATTGAGGCTCTCCGGACTCACAAGACCTGGTTTCTATTCCCTGACTGGATGACATAGCCCTTGTAAACAGGAGCAGCAGTCTGAAGAAACCAGTAGGTTACGAAACCCCCATGGGGTGAAAGCATGATAGATAGGCTGGCATAGGGAATACTGGGAACTTTTAAATTCTCTCTTGTCCCTCTTTTCGCTAGAAAAAGCATGAGGCTATGTATACAGCGAGGCGGGGGGAGACAGAATATGATCCAGATTCATTGGCTAATCTTCAGACTTTACATTCACTTTGCCTCTATTCCAGTCACATCAAGTAATTTGCCGTGGGCCCACTGATACTGCTATTTCTAGTCTACCCTGCCCGCCCTTTGTTCCACCCACCCATACTCCATGACATGAATAGCAACAGGACTATGGCACCTCCTCCCTCGCAGCAGCCCACATACATGGGTGCTGATACACTACTGTGATGAAGGCTCTAGGCAGGGTACAGACCCTTTTAATACAGCTAGGATATAAAGTAGCACAATCCCCACCCTGAGACAGTTCTGGGAGTTCGCTTGGGTGGGCTGAAGGATGAAAAGGTGGTAGCTGGGGTGCTCTTATGCCCAGCAATTGTATGCCTGTCCAGTGACCTATCCATATGCAGTTTCAGTCAGCCCTGATAGCTGAGCTAACCTAGACTAGAGAACTCACAGCAGCCCCTCCTTCTTATTACCAGCCTAAAGATGAATTTAGCCCGGAGAGAGAGAGAGAGAGAGAGAACAGATCACATTGCAGGAACATTGTGTGAACTAAAGGAAGGCCAAGCAGGATGGCCATTTTGTTTCTATGTTTTCCTTCTGACTGTGTCAGAGTGCTTTACAAACTTTCATTCAACACCCCAGGAAGGATTTCACTATCCTCATCATTACTGATGGGGAGGGCAGAGGGAAATGAGAGAAACAAAACATTTATGTTGCATCACAAGTGGCAGGACTAGAATCCAGATCGCCTGTCCTCCACTCCAATGCCCTACCTTCCTCATGGAGCTTTATTTATAATTGACAGCGGTGGCCTGAATGGAAGGAGAACTAAAGAGAGGAGTGTATCTACCTGAAAACAGATTAGCCTGGCTAAGTGCCACCCCTTTGGGAAATCGGTTTCAACTTGGGACTGACCCTCGCCCCCCACCTCTTTTCTTAGAATTCCTCTCCATACATGTGAGCTCCATTCACCTTCACTCCTTTCCTTGCCAGGACATACAATAGCTGATATTGTATAAATTGCAGCCTGGAATCAGGACAGTTGGAACAGTTGCAAGTGCCATTTCTTCAGTAAAGAAACAAGACCACAGGAGAGGGGAAGAGTGATTGCACCTTTATCACAAGGCGTGTTTTGCCACTGAAATCAGTTATTGCCTGTCAGAAGCTGCTATTGTTTTCTAGCTCCCAACAGAGGCAGGGCTTGGCTTGTGTTTTGTACATTCCAGACCTCTTCCTCTATTCAGTGCTTATGGATACTTATAGGTACTGAAGGATATTTCATTTGAAAAACCTATCTCAATTATAAGGAAGGCTGGGAAGAGAAAGAGAAAGAAGAAGATTCTCTTAGACTATGTCTAGACAGGCTATTTCAGGATACTGGAAGTATCCCGAAATAGCTATTCCACATCTTGAAATGTGCCTGTTATTTCGAAATAGATTTCAAAATAACGGGTGCACTATTCTGGTGTCCATGTAATCCTCATTCCACAAGAGGTAAGGGACATTTTGAAATTGGGTGCTGTGTAGACAGTGCCAAATTTTGAAAGAAGCTATTTCAAAATTAGATGGTAATAGGATATGCAATTTGTGTAGCTTAAATTACGTACCTGATTTCAACCTATGGGTGCAGTATAGATGCACCTTCGTCGACTTGCACTGCTTTGTAAATGTAATAGGGCTAAGGTAGTCATATAAAAAGCAAAAGCCGGACACTAACACTCTAAGTAGGTAGGGGAGTGTCCTTTTCCTCTCAGGTTCTTAAATCCTGCAATGTAAATGTCCCCTTCACATGCCTGACCCTTCTCTGCACCCCACTCACAGTTACTGCACTTGCTCAGGGCAGACCAGAGTTCAGAGGTACATCCACAGAGTTCACCTCCCATCCTGGATTGGGGAAGGTAAAAAGGCATCTTACTCACTCCTCTGGTCACTTGCCATCCACCTCCATTCTGCTTTTTACTGCCATTTTTTGGCTGCTTGTCGCACCTCTCCACTGCTGTCCTGTTGGCTGCTTATCACACCTCTCTTCCACTGCCCTGCTGGCCTCTCATCACATCTCTCCACCGCTGCCCTGCAGGCTGGCTGTCACCATCCACTGCCATCTACCTCTTGGCTGTGACTTTTGCCCATCAGTCCACAGTGATTTCAGCTCCCAGTGATTTCACTCTTAGCAAGCAGGATAGAAGAAACACAACTCCAACACAATTAACGTAAGAAAAGAGGCTCTTTATGAGGGACGTACAAAATATAGCCTGCCAAGCCACCCGATACAGCCCACAGCCAGCGGGAGCCTCAGACATGCTGGTTAGCCCTGTGATGGCCATGTATTGCTGCAAGCCTGGGTGGAGGGAGAAAGTGAATTTTTCTCCGCTCCCAGCACAATCTCGCAGCTCCCATTGGGTGGTTTCTAGCCAATGGGAGCTGACTGTTGGCAGGACAGGCAGCATGTGATGTACCCCTTCCCCGTCCACCCAGGCTCACAGCATTCACAGCAGCTGCTTTGAGTGGTCTGCAGTGGTAGGGAAGGCAGGGAGCCTGGCTGAAGAACCTGCTGGCTAGGAGCTGGCCAGAATCTCTCTCTGGCATCCAAGCTCCTCCCTCCCCCTCAACCCTCTGTTCCCCATTTTGCACTCCTACCCCATGTAACACAAACCCTCTGCACCTCTGCTCTTGCACCCATACCACCTCCCAGACCCTGCACCCCCTCCAACACTCCTCCTCCTGGTCACAACCCCCTCCCAGACCTTGCACCCCAATTCCCTACCCCTGGTCATAACTAAACTACCTGTAACCCCCCACCTCCCCGAACTCCTGTTCATAACCCCCTCCCAGGCCCTGCACCCACTCCTACATCCCTCCTCCAGGTCAGAATTCTCTCCTGACCCAAACCCCCTCTTGGATCCTGCACCCCAGTCTCCTCCCCCAGGTCACAACCCCTTCCTCTACCCACACTACCTCCTAGATTCAATATCCCCTCCTATACCCCTGACTCTTACTCCAAGCTCCCTTCTGCACCCACCCTCCATCCCAGACCCCACACCTCCTCCCTTAATATCATAGAAGAGTGTAGCCCTCGACCACTTACTAAATTCTTGGAGTGCCCCCCCCAATAAAAATATTGTCCACCCTTAACCTTAGGTCTTAATGATGCCTGTTTGGCTCTTTTCTTTGAGCAGTGATGGGGACCAGGTCGAATCAGTCCAGGCAAGGAAAGATACGCAGCCTCCTGATCAGAATGACCTTCCCTCATACCCTCTACTCTTACTAAGCTCTGTAAGTCAAGCTCCTGCTTAGCAAGATTCTTTCTGCTAACTGAGAGCTGTTTCTTTTGGAACAATTTAGCATAGTCCTAGTTTTCTGTATTCCCACAAAATTACAAACATTGGCTAACCATATTTTAGCTATCCCTGCATTTAATACAAACATAGCTGGTGTTGAGTCACAAATTAGGTTGATTACAATGAGCAAAATACCATTCCATTTACTGAATATCTAACACATCTAAGCAAAGCAGGAGCAAACAATATTTACATAGGCACAGCCAGGGTCTCTCTTCCCATCCAACTGGTTGTAAGGGAAGCATTCTTTCAGATTCTGCTTACATCTGTGTGTATAACTTGTTGAATACTATGCAATGACAGTGTGTAGTTCTGACTGGTCTCAGCAGACTCCTTTAAATCACATTTGGCTATAAAGTCTAGCAGTACTTTGCAAGTAACTTGCATTTTGGTTTAAATATATGTACTGTGTACAGTCTGTAAATAATAATATCAAGTTGTATTTTTGTGCGTGGTGTTGTGTGCATTTTTTTTAATGCTGCCTCAGCAGTCCAAATTCTGGTGGGTAATTTCCTTTTGTAGCTAGAATCTGTATGGTCACTCACACAGGTAGACCCATTGACACCTGAAGGATTACTCACATGAGTACAGGCTAGTAGTTAAAGTAAAGGTTGAAGAATTGGATTCCTTAATTGGACATAACATGTCAAAGAATCATAGAATCACTGAATCTTAGGGCTGGAAGCGACCTCAGGAGGTCATCAAGTCCAGCCCCCTGCCCAAAGCAGGACCAACCCCAACTAAATCATCCCAACCAGGGATTTGTCAAACAGGAACTTAAAAACCTCTAGGGATGGAGATTCCACCACCTCCCGAGGTAACCCATCCCAGTGCTTCACCACTCTCCTGTTTTTCCTAATATTCAACCTAGACCTCCCCCACTGTAACATGAGACCATTGCTTCTTGTTCTATCATCTGCCACCACTGAGAACACCCTCTCTCCATCCTCTTTGGAACCTCCCTTCAGGAAGTTGGAGGCTGCTATCAAACTAGAATTTTCTGCTTAATAGGAGTTCTCTCCAACCCCTGGCAAAATCTGATTTTCACTCTGTATTTCATAATGATGTAGAAGAAACTTGCAAATGACAAGGCAGTTGAAGTTGCCATTGCTCTTTTTAAAAGAAAGTGTGTGTGTGTGGAAATCTCTAATCACTTATTTCCCTAGTATTTGGGGAAAAAATCACTGTACAAATTAATAATGAAGTGTATGGGCCAGATCCTCCATTGTGTGCGTCAGTGGAACTCAGCTGATTTTACACCACCTGAGCTTTTGCCCCCCAGTCCTAATTAACTACAAAAGTTTTTCAGCCCAGCTCATGTTGATTACACTGCTAGCCTTCCAGAGGAAAACATTTCTGTGTACACTCTGTCTTGGGACATCTCATTCAGGAAAATTAACTCATTTTGCTGCTGATTTCCATCAGCATGTTGCCGCATTAATAGAATGTAGCAGTGGATTAATTAGCTTTGAATGCATTGGTCTCCATTTGGAGTCTTCTGTAATGTAAGAAATCCAGGGAGTGTGCTGGACTTGTTCACACAGTACAATTTCTGAGTTGTGATTTTGTTTTCTGCACATAGGAAGTGAAGTAGCACTTGTGATCAAACTCCCATTCACCAAACGGGACAGCAGTCCTAAAATCTCAGGCTACGTCTTCACTGCGAGTTCTTCCAGCAGAAAATATGCTCATGAGGGACTCATTAGCATGAGTCATGATCTCATTAGCATATTTTCTGCCGGAAAAAACTGGCAGTGAAGACAAAGCCTCAGTGTTTTCCAAGACAAAGTCTAGAACTAGTATGTACTATTGTCTCAGTCTTTCTTCCTGTTTCTTTGTCATCTTACTTTTCACTCCCTAATTCATATATGAGAGTGGGAGATATTGCATCACTTACAAAAATCTTCTAATTTCAATTTCAGGTCTGAGTTCACATCTTGGAATGATGTGGCTCTTCCTTCCCAATAGTAATTCATTACAGTGATTATGTATCACGGCTATTGAATATTATGTATATTTTATTTAACTACTGCATATAATAATAAATCAGAATTGATTAAAATACTGTATAGCAATATGACTATAGATTTTTAAGATAAACTCCCTTAAAATTAATGAGAGATAATACGTAACATCAGAGGGAGGGAGAAAATAAACACCCTGGGCGGGGGAGAAATTATGTATTTTCAGCTCTAATATGAAAAGTGATGGATGCTAAATGAATTCCAGGGAGGCCGTCAGGAGGCTATTTTATCTTTGCAAAAATTTCCCACCAAAACTCTTTCAATGAAAAAAAAAAAGTTTTCCATTAGATGAACTTTTTCACAGAAAGTGTCTGTTTTGAAAATTTTAATTTTTTTAATGGGAAAACCAAAATTACAAAAATCAGAACTTTTTGGCTAAATCCCCCAAATGTTGGGATTGTCATCTTTTCCTTTATTCAACTAAATGTCAAAAATTTCTGCTGAAATATTTATCCAAATTTTCCATGCAGAGGGGGAAGAATCCTACTTTCCATCCAGTGACTACACATGCCAGGAGTTGCAAAGGAGAAGGCTCACACATTAAATGTGGCCAGATTGGGTGACTGGAGAAAGAAGAGAATGGAGGGAAAGGGGAAAGAAGTAAATACAGAAAAGGTTTGTGACATAGTGGCTGGGAGAGAAGATGTATTTGTTATTACTGAAATACGTCCTGAAAAAAGACTTTGGGCCAAAATGTTAACATTTTAGTGAATAAAATTAAAGTGTAATTATTCTGAATGGTTTATTCTGTGGAATTTAGCCTGTCCTGAACGGGGATACAGTTCCGAATGACAGCCTTACTCTAGTAGTACCAAGCCATCCATGAAGTAGATCAACCACATTACATGAATAGCAATTAGTCTACATTTTGAATTCCTTACTATTTACCACAAGATAGGTAACTTTCCATACTGATAATGACTAATATAGGAAATTCCTCAAGTATACTAGACCTATTCATTACAAATAGAGGCTTTGATTCTGTGAACAGTTAAACATATTTAACTTTGAAACATGACTATCCCCCTTGACTTCAGTGTGATTATTCACATGATGGAGTTAAGCGTGCTTGCAAATTGGGACCTTCACTTCTTTTGTGTTGTAGAATCACTTGCAATCTGATCTCATTTTCTGAATTTATTCATCAAACATAAATAAGTGCTGAATAATTTGGAGCCATAAGTTTCCTATTGGGGCTGTTCATTAAATGCTTTATTTGACTAATTGCTATTCATGGACTGTGGTTGATCCACTTCATCGGTGGCTTGGTGTTACTAGAGTGAGACCTTCATTGACAACGGTATCCCTGTTCAGGACAGGATAAATCCCCCAGAAGTCAAGGCATGTGCTTTCGTACTGAAGTGGGGCCTGACTGAGTGAAATATTTGGAACTTGGGAACAGTGAGAAACAAATAGCAAATCATAAAGTTCAGGATTGAAATTTCAGACAAGGAATCTGCGCTAAAACTAAGGAAAATCTTGGGATTTGCAAGCATTTGTGCAAATGCTTGGCAAGTGTTCAAATAATTGCAAATGATGAGTAGTATGATACTGTACGTCACTGTGAACTGAGCCCAGTCTCTGCATTTGCTTGTAAAAATATTAATGAGCCTTGGTTTTATTGTGTTTAAGAGTGCTACATTTGTGCCAAGGCTTACTGGGGCTGTGCCCTGACAGTTGTAGGCTTGTCAGTTCATAATCCCAACACTTCTGGGCTCCCCGCCAGGAGCCACTGCCCACCTCTGAAGGCAGCAGCAGTGCAGAAGTAAGGGTAACAATACCATACCATGTCATTATTGTCCTTGGTAATGACAACAATGTCACTGCACATTCAAAGTCATAACAAGTTTAAAATTCAAAGCGTTGCTTGAGCCCCATCACCTCTTTCATTACAAATTAAGCACCAGTGTTTAACTGTTCTACCAGCTTTAGAACAAACCCGTGATTTAGAGGGAACAGATGGGAGCAAGAGGGAAGAAAGAGACTAAAAACATCATCTTTCCTTTCTGAAGAAATAACTCAATCTCAAGGTCTATTTTTCTGGCTGCAGCTGAAAGAAAATCATTACAGGGTCCTGGGGAGGTCATACATATTATATACAATCTTACACCCACACAAAAGCAATCCAACTTGCTCTGTTTTTCATCTTGGCCTCAGGCCAGCAAAATATTCTTGTATAAAAATGACAAGATCAAGTCTTTGTGCCTGCTCACTCAGAGCCAAAATGAGTGACTGACGCCTCCTCTTTGTTGTTTTGTATGCCTCCTCTACAGAGGCAGGGTAGGAAAGGTGTTTCCTGACATTCTGAATATATCTAGTCTAATCTAATTAAAAATGGAAAGAAGGAACTAGGAAGATGCAGCAACACTGTAATGCATCCATGAGTCGGATGATAGCACCTTACATGACTCCAGCAGCCTGCACAAATTTTCGTCAAGGAATAAATTAGCAATGACACCATCTCATTTGCTTGATTTCTGTCCAGTTTGGTTCTGAAGTCTCTCTCATCGACTCAACATCTTCTTTCCTCTTCTGTATGTTTTTTTTATTTTTTTAACCTGTCCTTTATTTTTGGCATTGCCAGAGGTTATCTTTGTTCCCATTTATTATTTGCTCATCTTTCTTCTGTTGCTATTATGTTTGTGGTTGCTTTTTATTTCATCCTTTATTTTCCAGATGCTTTGGCTTTTTATTTATTTATTTTCCTTCCCCCCCACCCCATTCCCCTGATGTTTCTTATCCATTTTGTCGCTTGTATGTTGGTTTCCTGTAGCTATGGCTCTCACCAGTTGTGATACTGGTAAACTTATCACCAGCTGTGGTGAGTTTAGAGACCATGCAGCTGAAGAGAGTGGAATAAGAGGCAAAAAGTAGCTCTGTGCCAACTTTCTGCTCTGCGAATTCTAGGCCAGCCAAAGGCCAAAATGGAGCTTGGAGGTAATATCCAGCAACCTTGGGTCGGCCCCAAACATCTGGAGGCAGGGCCACAAACCTGGCCCTTGATTTTTATTTCACTCCTTTTCTTTTTGTTTCCTTATCATTAAAAATACATTTTAAATTTTCCTTCATTTCCTGTCTTTCCACTTACGTCCCCTCGGCAATCCGCTGTGCTTGCTGGCTGCGGCAAAGCCAAGCTGGCTGAGACAAATTATTGCCCATTGGGAAGCCTTGGCTCTACATCCACACTCCTCACATAGTTTTTCCTGGTTCATTTTGCTTAGAAGTGGTGGTCCAAAGCCCATTAAAGTCAGTGGAAAATAGCCCATTGACTTTCATGGGCTTTGGATCAGGCTCACATGTGTGCAGATGTGGTACTGCCATTTGGGCCACTTCACTGGGAACACTGACATCCCCCCACCCTCTCCTGGTCTGGGTTCTGGAGGAGATGTGATTGTTATATGATATAGATATTCAGCCTCCTTGTAAAGGCCTCTGGTTTAAGAATTTAAGTATATACTTGTCATCTAACTAGTTTCAGGGGTATACAAATAAAGAATTAAAATCACAGTTTGCCTGGGTATGTGTCTTTTCTCACTGTGACAGTCTGGCAACATCTACGTTGTGCTGTAGTTTGAAATAAGATACCCAATTTGAGCTACGCAAATTATGTATCTTATTTCGATTTTGCTTCGAAATAACCCCCTATTCCAAAATGTCCCTTACTCCTTGTGGAATGATGTTTACAGGGACATCGGGATAGTGAGCCTGAAATAACAGGCTTGCCGTGAAGACGCAGGATAGCTATTCTTAGATACTCTGGTATCCCAAAATAGCATTGCAGTTTAGATGTAGCCTCTGAGGCCTCATTTTTGGTGGGATATAATTGGTCAGATAATCATGTTATATAATATGTTAGGACTGGTTAGTTAAATTTCAGTAAAATGATTGGTTAAGATAGAGCTGAAAATATTACTATATAAATTAGGGATAAACAGGAAGTAAGTTAAGAACAAGAGAAAAAGGAACAAGGGGGAAAAGGAATTCATACTTGCAGGAAGCTACTCCTAATACACATGGAATTCTTTGTAGGCATCTGCTCCATTTTCCTCATGCTTGTAGTGCATATTCCACAAGGTGTGTCCAAAGCTGCAGCAATGTCCCAATTTACTTTGTGAGATGACATGATATTTATTGCATGTTGAGTGCATGGTGAGTGCAGGGTGGAAGTGCGGTGTGACATTTTGGCTACATCTAGACTGGCCCCTATTCTGAAATAGCCATGCTAATTTCAGACTTTGGAATAGGGAAATCCGCGGGGGATTTAAATATCCGCCGCGGGATTTAAATAAACATGTCCGCCACTTTTTTTCCGGCTTGGGGAAAAGCCGTAAAAAAGCATCTAGACTGGCGCGATCCTCCGGAATAAAGCCCTTTTCAAGAGGATCTCTTATTCCTACCTTTATTCCGGAGGATCACGCCAGTCTAGACGCTTTTTTCCGGCTTTTCCCCAAGCCGGAAAAAAAGCGGCGGACATGTTTATTTAAATCCCGTGGGGGATATTTAAATCCCCCACGGATTTCCCTATTCCAAAGTCTGAAATTAGCATGGCTATTTCAGAACAGGGGCCAGTCTAGACATAGTCATCATGTTCTTGATTATCATATCAACAGGCTGATTGTATTCCAGAGAGTGAATAGTGATCCCACAATAGCTTGGATCAGTAGGTAGCCCCTTTCTTTGAAAAGCATACTAACCCAGGCTATTACTTAGGGTTGGCCTTGTTTGCTCTCGCACCTGATGCTGAATGTCTTATTGTACTTTCTAAACCTCTGCAATGTGGTAATTTGTAGGAATTGGTATTACAATGACAGACCCATTGAAACACTATTTTTCGCATTATGAAAGTTGAATTCCCTTCAGAATTACTCAGTGATAACCCATTCCCATACAATGTCATGACATGTCCCACAGCAATTCTATTAAGTACTGTTGGTGATGATCATGTGTTAGACAATGCTATACTGTAAAAGCCACGTTCAAAACACCCATGCCCCAAGTGACCTTGAAGTAGCCAGGAAGAAACCAGAATTTCCTTTTGCTTGACTGGGAAAAAGAAGTTAGCTTAATAATGTTTTAACCATGGGAAATTATAACTATTATTTACTGAAGGCTAAAATAAATGGAAATAACTTGTTCCTGGTATTGATTTTTGTTTGTTAGTTCCTTTTGCATTGTTAAGCAACATTTAATATATCTTCCCAAACAACCCTATACACAATTGTCTATATATCTGTCTGTCTGTTGATCTTTCCCTCAAGTTTTTTAGGGAAGGTCATTACAAAACAGGCGAAGAAAGAGATTTACAATCAGTAGCCTATTAGTATTGCTTTGTCTTGCAGTATCCAAAATGTGAATATCTGGCTTTTAGCACAATTTGTCTTTTATGTAAATTTCATCTTTTCTCCAGGTTCTGTTGCTGTCTCATTTATGGTATAATTAAAGGTTAAATGATTTTGCCATTCTACACATTGATGTTTAACTAACAGTAATGCTACGTGTGTAACAATATATGCTTTTGCCTTATTGGATAAGGTATTGTCTCCTCATGTTCTTCCCTTCTTCACTTTCGCTTTAGAGAGTTTGCTTTAGTAATTGTGCTTGAGGTTTTCCCTACT